TGCTTCCAAATTGGCCTGAGATCAGGCAGCCAGCCTCCATTTCTATTGAGCAACAGGCAGAGGCTGCGCAATGCATGCCCAGGAGCAACGGAGAGTAGACATCTTTCCAAGGATAGCTCCTTGTTGTATCAAAAGGGAACATGCCCTGGCCAATTTAGCTCAGCAGTTAGAGCATCAGCCCACGGACCAATGAGTTGAGAGTTCGATTCCAGTCAGGGGACAATTCGTCCCCGGCCCTAGTCGGGTCGTGCGGGAGGCAACCAGTCAATGTGGCTCTATCACCTCTCTCTCTCTCTCTCTCTCTCTCTCTCTCTCTCTCTCTCTCTTTCTCTCTCTCTCTCTCTTCCTCCCTCTTACTCTATCTGATGATAAATAGAAAAATATCCTCAGGTGAAGAATAAAAAAAAAAAGGGGAACATGGACTTCCAAAGTCCAGAGTGAGGCACCGAGTGCTGAAAAGAAAGCAAACAAACAAAAAATGTCCCAGATACTCAGCAGCTGGCCTGGCATTCACACCTAAAGCATGTTACACTCTTTTTAGAAATAAACAGTCTCACAGAATACAAATTGTAATATTCAGGGTTCTCCAGAGAAACAGAACCAATACGATATATAAAAAGAGATTTGGAGGCTGAGCAGTCTCACGGGGTGGAAGCTGGAGGCCCAGGGAAGCTGGTGAACCAAAGGCCGATGCTGAAGTCCCAGTCTGAATCTGGAGGCCTAAGAAGGGAAGCTCTGATGTCCGACAGCAGGAAAAGATGGTTGTCCCAGTTAAAGCAAAAGAGCAAATACATCCTTTTTCAGCTTAAAAAAAAGATTAACTTTTTATTGCTATATAATTGACATGTATATTGTATAAGTTTAATACAACATACTAAGTTGATACATTAGTATACTGCAATATGATTACCACCATAACATTAGCTAATACCTCTAGCAAGTCACACATTTATTATTTCTTTTTTTGTGGTGAGAACATTTAACATCTAGTCTCAGCAATGTTGAAGTATACAATACAGTATCATTGACTATAATCGCTAGACTGTGTATAAGATATCCAGAACTTACTCATCCTCTAGTTGCAAGTTTGTACCCTTTAACAACACCTCCCCAACTCCCCCACCCACCAGCCTTAGGTAACCCCCATTCTGTTCTCTGTTTCTATGAGCTCACATTTTTTACTTTCCTCATATAAGTGACATCATACAATATTTGTCTGTTTTTGTCTGGCTTATCTCACTAAGCATAATGCCTTCAAGGTTTATCCTATCACAAATTCATACATACTATCACAAATGGCAGAATTTCCTTCTTTTTCATGGCTGAGTAGTATTCCATTGTCTATGTATTTATTCACCACATCTTTATCCATTCATTCATTGACACACTATTATGAATAATGGTGGTTTTTATATCTTGATTATTATGAATAATGCTGCAATAAACATAGGAGTGCATATATCTTTTCTATATCTTGTTTTAATTTCCTTTGGATATATACACATTAGAGGGATTTCTGAATCATAATATATATATATATATATATTTAAATCCTCACTTGAGGATATTTTTCCATCTATATTCAGACAGAGTTGGGGGTGGGGGTGAGAGAGAGAAACATCAATTAGTTGCCTTCCACATGACCCTGACCAGGGCCATGGACCGAACTGCAACTGAGGTATGGGCCCTTGACCAGAATCGGGACACGTGACTCTTTGGTCAACACAGCTCTTTGGTCTGTGGGCCGACGCTCTAACCACTGAGCCAAACCATCCAGGGCAATATATATTTTTAATTTTTTGAGGAACCTCCATACTGTTTTCTTTAGTGGCAGCACCAATTTACATCTCCACCCACAGTGCACAAGAGCCCCCTTTCGCTACATCCTCAACAATACTTGTTATCTCTAGTCTTGTTGGTAGCCATTCTAACAGGTGCGATGTCTCACTGTGGTTTTGATTTGCATTTCCCTAATGATGAGTGTTGAGCATCTTTTCATTTACCTCTTGGCCATTTGATGCCTTCTTTGGGAAAATGTCTATCCAGTTTCTCCACCCTCAGTTTCACTGCGTTTTTGTTCTGTTCACGCCCTCAAAGGATTTAATGAATGATGTTCATCTACACTGGTGAGAGAGATCTTCTACTGATTCAAATGATAATCTCTTCTGGAAACACCCTCACAGACACACCCAGAAATAATGTTTTACCAGCTATCTGGGTATTGTTTAGCTGACTTAAGTTGACACATAAAATTAACCACCCCATCAACCTCAGGCAAGGCCACTCTGAGGCCAGGATAAAATGTGAAAAAGCAAACCCACTTCATAATTTTGCACAGGACAAAATAAGATCACTGTGCAGCCTACAAAATACCCAGCATCCCTCTTTGTTAAATGAATGACTGCTGTTTCTTTCCCCAATCATAACATTGCTCTGTCTTTCTGACATCATTCAATTTGCAACAAACCCCCACTCTTTTGCACCCTCTCCCAAATCACCTAACTAAAGCCCAAGTCCTATAATTGGTTCTTCCTAACCACCCTCTACTGAGACACCTGTGGTTCCCCACAGTCTGTTCTCTCTTGCTGCCACAAGTGACAAATCCAGATTGTCCAACTATAGGTGGAGTCTTGGTGGTCTTTGGCTGAAGGGCATGATGAGGCTATGGGGATAGAATCCATGCCATGCATAAATTCTCATCTGAGAATACTATTTTTAATAGTAAAATAGAGATCACAAAAATCATTGCATTTAGAAAGAAGGAAAATGTAAGTGAATCTAATGTACAGAATTGCTGAAGGTACGGAGAGGGAAAGGGAAGAGAGTAGGTTGGTTGATCAGCATTTTGGGTCCTTAATAGAGCCTGTGTTACTACAATTAACCTCAGAAGGGAGGGGCAGTCAGTGTGTGTGAGGGGCTGGGGGTGGGGAACTCAGTGGGGAAATTTGAAGGGCAAAGGGAACTTGAGCTACCTTCTCCATTTGTCCCAGCTGAAGTGCAGACACTGATTCATTTCATTTTCACACCAGTCCTGCAAGGCAGATAGTATCATCGCCACCACTCCCTGACTTGAAAGATGAAGAAATCTGGGCCTGGAGAGAATTTAAAAAACATATCCAATAATATAGAGTGAATCCATGGGCAGTACCAGGATCTGTGAAACTTAGAAATTCACGGGCAAGACACTACACCAATGATCTCTAAATAATGCCAAATATGCATACACCAGGAGAAAGAAAACTTTTTAAATAAAGAGCTAAAAATACAATTAGAGACTGCATTTTTAAAAGTGTCTCATTTTAAAATTAGGAGATGCAATATTGTAATTATTGTTAGAGTGGTTTTATTATTTTCCTATTATTAAACAGTATCTTTGCTTTTTGGAAAAAAAAAAAATTTCTTTTTTTTTTGCCCAGGCTGGTTTGGCTCAGAGGTTAGAGCATCGGCCCATGGACCAGAGAGTCATGGGTTCGATTTTGGTCAAGGGCACGTACCTCAGTTGTGGTTTGTCCCCGACCCTGGTCGGGGTTGTGTGGGAGGCAACCAGTTGATGTGTGTCTCTCAGATTGATATTTCTCTCTCTCTCCCTGTCCCCCTGCCCCACTCTATCTGAAGAAAAATGGAAAAATATCCTTGGGTGAGGATTTAAAAATGTGGGGTTTTTTTTTGGTTAAAATTGCAAAATTGACACAGCCAGCAAACATTGAATGTAATACTGCTATATTAAACAAATTTTGTTGTTGAATAAAATAATTTTGAATCTGGTTCATCCTGTTCTTTTGTTTGTACTGACCTCATAAACAACTTAATTATATCATCTTATTAGTGCCTTTGATATGATGTAATGAGAAGAGTGCTTCACCTCCATGTCATTCTTCCCAAAGTCCACAACTCTTGTCCAAGCTGACAAAAAAATATTACAAATATCATTTTAAGGAACATTTCACAAAATAACTGCTCAATACTCCTCAAACTTGTCAACATAATCAAAATAAGAAAAGTATAAGACTTTGTCAGAGCCAAAATGAGCTTAAGGAACTCGGACAACTTAATGTCTTTCTTTTACATCTTTACAGCACTTTGTACTACCGATGTTTACTCTTTGCCAGTATTTTAATGAATGGTTTTAGTACTAATTGCTGATCATTTTTCAAAATTTATTTATTTGGGTACAAAAGAATATTTTTCTAGGATTTTGAAAATCAGGAATGAATAGTAATTATTATTGAATACTTTTTCTTCATGTATCAAAATGATCAAGCATTTTCTTTTTTTTTTACATTGACCAATCACTGCATTCCTGGGATTAGCATTACTCATTATATGTTTTCATAAACTGCTAGATTATACTTAACATAATGTATTTAGTTATTTTAAATCTATTTTGAAAAGTTAATTATACTTTTTATAATCTTCTTGTGTTTTTGATGTCAAGGTTATACTTGTTTTATAAAATGAGCTGGAATGCAGTTCTTCTGGTCCACACGGGACTTGCTGTGTCCTGGATTGGGGGCCTTATTCCCAAAGGAGCAGTGAGGGTTCTCCGCCAGTGTTTGAGTGTTGTTGGTCAGACACGCTGACCCAAGAATGTCACCAAATGGTTGTGTCCTTCTAGTGGTTTTTATTTTTACTGATAAGAAAGAAACAAGAAAAGGAAGGAAGGAAGGAAGGAAGGAAGGAAGGAAGGAAGGAAGGAAGGAAGGAAGGAAGGAAGGAAGGAAGGAAGAATAAGCAGAAAGAACAGATAAATAAAAAGCAACTATTCATTCTTCATCCTGGGAAATCCATAATCAATGGTTTGGGTTTATGTTTTCTAATCTTGAGACTCTTTCATGGAGTTATTAATCACTTTAAAAATCTGCCTTTTATGAGATAGTTAGTGAAGGTTATTTCTTGAACCAAGTTGTTCTTTTATTTGGCTACTTTGGTTAGAAAAGAGATAATTGTCATGATTCTTTTATTTGATTCTACAGGGTTACTGGCTGCAGATTACTGTTAACATGTCTGACTCAGTCATTCTTCGCAGTGTGAAGAAATTTGGAGAAGAGAATCATGGTTTTGAGTCAGATGGATCATGTAAGTGGCCTCTTTCCCTCACTGTCTATTCAACAAAGAAGACAAGTGGAACAAGCTAGTGAGGTTTCAAGGGGGCAGAGAAAAATTATTGGCAATATTTAGAGCTGTTGCTGAACATGTTTCTCACCCATGAACGGGTGGCTCTCCCGAGAATCCATGTAATGGAATGTCTGAAGGTGTTAAGGTAAAAATGCACAAAGTATGGGAGAGTGAAGTATTTACTCTACAAACATCTCTTTCCTGGGCGAAGGAGGGTTGTTCCAGCTTTGGTTAGTATGATCTTTATTCACATATTGTGATTAATCACAGCAGTAATCATTCCATGAGCACTGCTCCCTGAGAGAAACTGTACCAGGGCTGTGCTGGCAGAATGGAAGAGCAAGTACCTAGCATGTAGTGAGCGCAGATGATTCTAAGCAAGTCTTATTTTTTAAACAAATCTTATGATTTTACAGGAGAAGCAACTGAGACTCGAATAAATTTTTTAAAACTTGACAAAGATCACATGACTAATAATGGAGCCATAATTCTAATCTAGTTCTGTCTGATTCCCAAACCCATGATATTAATCTCTATTTATATTCTAATGCCTCTGCTCTTAAATTAAATTAAATTAAATTAAATTAAATTAAATTAAATTAAAATTCTGGGAGAATCAGGATGTGTGGTTCCATGGTAATGGTTGACATTAGCACCTTGGATTCCTTTGACTGTGGCCACCCTACCCCAGACCCTTATACTTCCTACCCTCCCTCTGCTCTGAGCTATGCTGGGGAAAATAATATGTGCCTCAATCCTGTGGCTTCTACTGGCATGCAAGAGTCAATGGCATCATACTGTCCCGTTAATTTGTGATCTTAATTTTACATAGATAAATTCTGATGTTTCTAAAGAATCAAATAACAAATAAACCTTCATTTTTCTTGGTAGTTAAAAGAATCATATTTTCTTTAGCTAATTTAGAAATGTTGGTCTCACCCTGGCTGGTTTGGCTCAGCAGTTAGAGCATCTGCCCCGGGACCAAAGCGTCGTGGGTTCGATTCTGGTCAAGGGCACGTACCTCGGTTGTGGTTCAATCCTTGGTCCTGGTTGGGGTTGTTTGGGAGGCAGCCAATTGGTGTGTCTCTCTCACATCGATGTCTCTTTCTCTCTCCCTCCTTCCCATTCTATCTGAAAATCAATGGAAAAGTTCCTTGGGTGAGGAGTAAAAAAAAAAAAATGTTGGTTTCTAGTTAATATTCAGAAGACACAAATATTTTATAACCTGGAGAAAAGTCCAGAAATGTAGTCAAGCCAGCAGTCCTGATCCTGAAAGAGTATCTTCTTCATATATATGGAGAGAGAGAGAGAGAGAGAGAGAGAGAGAGAGAGAGAGAGAATTAAAAGAAAGGAGAAAAAAATCATTTTGCTATGTTTCATGAATAAAAATAATTTATAGGAATCATTTTTTCCAGAGCAAACTGTAAGTTATTATGTTGCATTTTGTCTTTATTAACTGCCTTATGTATTATTTTTATCCTGACAGATAACAGTGATAAGAATTCACAGTAAGTGACTATTTCAACAATGCATCTTTTCTAGAATAACTTCACAATATTGCCATAAAAAACACAAAGCAGAGGAAATTATGTACTTTGCTATAAAATGGGATAGATAATCCATTATTGTTCTATTTAAAACATTACTATAATTTGATTTCAAAAGCCTTGTAAAATATCCCTTCTAGATTAGGTCCAAATCTCTCCTGTGTGCCCAGGAACAGCACAGAATTTCTGACCTAAACTGTAGAAGAAAAGTTGGGCCCCCAAAAAAGTGGGTACAGGGGACGTTCCCAAGCCCCAAATTCTTCCCATAAGCAAAAAATAGAAACCTAAAATTTAATTATTAGATATTCCTCTTTAGTTTAAAAGGTAAAATTCTCATATAAAACAAATATCAATTAGTCACACTTTGGCATGAGGGCAAAATTAGATGGGGTCTAATTTAAAAGACAGAAGGAAGGTGCCAAGCAAGTTCTTGAAATAGAGATGGTAGAAGGGAGAGGTTGAAGATATTTAAGAAATTTTAAGTGATTCATGACCGAGGGAGTTGTTGGGTATGGTAACATTAGTTTTGGACTAGGAGCCTTGGGACCAGCCTGGGCTTAGAAGAACCACAGTGGGTTGGGAAAGATAAAATGGGTGTGAATGTAGATGAAAAGCAATGAAAGAATGAGCCGGAAGTTTGAGTAAATTCTTTGGTCTTTATTTTTATTTATTTTTCAGTTTACTATTTTTTAAATTGAATTTATTGGGGTGACACCGGTTAACTACATTATACAGGTTTCAGATACACAAGTCCACACACATCATCTGTACATTGCATTGTGTGTTCATCGCTCAAAGTCTCCTTCACCTCCTCTACCTCCTCACCCCACCCAGCAATCACCTGTGTCCATGAGACTTTTCTTTTTTTTGTTCTTTGGTTTTTAGAAAAGATGAATCTATCTCCTGATAGATGTGATCACGTAGAATGAAAAGAGTGAAAGTTTGATAAATCTGCTGAAGTGAACGGGAACCATCTCTGGAGGAATGGAGTACAGAGTGTGAATTGAGCTAAGGCTGAAGACCATTCTCATTCATTCATTTCACAAATACCAACTGAGTGCCTACTAGGTGTCAGGAACTGAAATTAGTGCCGAGGATGCAGAAAAGAACAGATTAGGCAAAAATTTCTGTCGTTGAGGAGCTTACATCTTAGTGAGGGATACATAATAAACACCATAAATAAATAAAATAGATAGCACGCTAGCTAATGATAATCTATCACTTTCTTTCTACAAAGGAAAAAGTAAACATGGAGTGGAGTTATGAAATGATGTGGGGAAAAGTTGAAATTTAATGACTTTGGCAAGAGAGGACCCCATGGAGAAGGTGACTTTTGAGGAAAGGTCTGAAGGAGGAGAGGGAATTGACCATGCAGATATCCGAAGAAAATAGCAAGAGAAAATAGCAAGTGCCAATGCCCAGGGTGGAAACAAATTTGGCATGGACAAAGGTCAGCACAGGGGTCAGGTGGCAAGAACTGGAGTGCAGTAAGGGGAGCCAAGGTCAGAGAGCCAGCTGGCCAGACCATGGAGGGCCTTGGATGTTTTGCCGAGGGCTTGGGATTCTACTCTGAGACGGAAGGGAAACTCCAGGGAACTGAGTGCTAGGCATGGCATGTGTTGGCATCAGTTCACATGGTGAGGATGTTGTCTCCAGCCAGCCTGGCAGCCTGGCTTCAGGAGAAGAGGGCAAACATGCTGGATAGAGGCCGAGATGATGTTTCTAAGGAAAGATTTGAGAAAAATGGCTGAGGATGATGTTAAGAGTGTGGTTCAATTGGCAGGAAGTGGGAGCGGGGATGCATGGGGAAGGAAGCAACATCTTGATGAGGTTTAGCAATTAGAAGTAAATGGAGAGCTTAAGGGACTGTATGTCTCAACTGAGATGACAAATAGTTGTGGAAGAGGTAAGCAAGTGAGAAAACACGATGCCTGGGCTGTCCCAGCATTCCACGGAGGGAGTACTTAAGGCAAGGTCCAGGGTGTACTCATGAATGAATGACTCAGCTGAAGTAGAAATCCTTGGAGTTGAAAAGGTCAAATATGGGTTAAGTATAACTTTATGAGAAATAAAATGAATAAATACTAAGGAAATATAACTTTATGGGAAGTTTAGAAGTTCGAGGGAAATTTTTCATTATATCAACACTATTTAATGTAGTTGTAAAAAATTTTAAGTGCTAGAAGGAAGTTTTAAATCAGCTAACCCAACCACCTCAATTTACCCACAAGGAAATGTATGTAGAAATAAGCCAAGGGTCAAGGCCGAACTCCAATAGTTATTTATTAGTATAACTGAGAGTAAGGAGTGCTTTTGATTTTCTTTCGGGGCCTTCAGAAAAACCTCAGTAAATCTCTTCTGAACATGAGATACAGCTATATTGAAATCTCTGTAAGAGGTAGATCTGAAGAACAAAAGCTTGTTTTTAAGATACCAGCTTTGGCAAGAATGTCTCAGCCAGAGAGGGGCTTTTTTTTTTTCAACTAAGGAATGACTCATTGAATCACCACCTAGGGAGAATTTCCCATGGTTTGGAAAGGATGGTCTGTAAATTCCTAATTTTTCTCCACAGGTTACAAAATGAGAAGAAAGGTGACAGCAGTCAAGTTGGCTTCTTTCAATTGGTAATAAAACTGTGCTGATTTATGACATGTGTTCTGCAGCCATGAATCATTCAGACATGGAGGAAATGTTTAATCTTTAGTCATAATGGCAGGTTTTAAACTACCGTGATTACTTTTGCAGTCATAAACTTTGTCTATGTGATAATATCCTGACTAGCAATTAGAAACATATTGCTAATTAAACACAAATCTTATTTGGTAGATCAGAAAAGTGTCCTGGAAAATAATTACTAAGTTTATAATGATCATTTTAGTGTGGAAAATCATCACATTTTAATAATCATATTCTGTATATTTATCCTTATGATAAGACTTTAGAAATTCTACAGTATAAATATTTTCCCCAAATTTGTTCAGGGTGGAGGCATTTCTAGGCACAAATATATATATATATATATATTGACTCTTCGTTGTCAATATTAGTTCTGGGAGCCAATTTGTGCTATTACTGAACATCCCACACTGTATAGATACATGGCAATAGTATTGGTACCAGTGACTATTCCCCCATAAGTTGTGAATGAATAGCTAAGAACTACAGTCAGCTCTTGAGATAAAGAAAGTGAATTCAGAGACCAGGAAAGAAATAACATGGATGGACAACATAATGGTCAAATATTTTAGATAGCTGATATGCCGTTCATTTTGATAAAATTAGTGAGAACTCTGTTATTCATTAAGGTAATCCCACAAAATTTGGTGTTACTTATCAGAATCTAGTAACTAAAATTAAATAGTCCTCCTACCTCTCCTGCTTTTCACCCATAGATGATCTCTGAATCCTTTGTTTTTCAAGTTTCGATTTTCTTCAACGACTGACATTTGGCTGATGTTTATGGGAGGTTTATGTGCATTTCTCAATGGACTAGCCCATCCAGGTGTGCTACTCATTTTTGGCACCATGACAGATGTTTTTATTAACTATGAAACTGAATTGCAAGAACTCCAGATCCCTGGAAAAGCATGTGTAAACAACACCATAGTGTGGACCAACAGCTCCCTCAACCAGAACGTGACAAATGGAACGCGTTGTGGGTAGGCTGCTATCGTTTATTTTTTACTTCTTTGTTCACATCTTAAATTGTAATTCAAAGTGTGTGAAGGGGATGTTTGGACTGAGATGGAATGGTATCCAATATAGTGAACAGAGACATAAATTTACCCATATTTCTACAAATTGCTCTGCCCTGAGGTTCTCCTATCCTACCAGGTTTTAAAATCCTTACGAAAAAACATAACTGGAAATTACCCATTAAATATATCTCCCAAATTTAACCACTTTGTAGACTATAGGGTTGAGGATGGACTACCAATACTTACTGCCAAAAGGAGATGATCCATGAATATTACTTGAGTCCTACGTCATGTCTTATATCCAAAACTTCCTTTTTTCTCTTTCTTTTTTCTAACTCTCTTCCCTCGTTTCTGTGGTTATGGCTAATGATTCACTAGATCCCTAGCTTTCCTCTATCGTGAGAATTTCATTAGTGTGCTATAGGCCTTGGGGTAGGGGCCACAGGTCTCAGTTAGTAGATGAGTTTCTATGGAAGAGTGGTGTGGTGTCATGAATAGCAGGCAGCCATGCTGAGTTAGCCAGAGCTCACGGTGCTACTACTGTTCTGTTTATGACTAGCCCAACAAGCCGCCTTGTAATCAGTGAATCCGTAGAGTACACAGGTTGACTGACTCACTGTTACGGCATGGACTTTGCAGCCTGCCTCACACTGCTTCAGGGCCAGAACACAGTCATTTGCACATTTGAACCCATACAATCAGGTTTGAGAACCAAGGGTAGGGCACATTCTGGCTAGAAAGACTCTTGAAATATCTTTCCCAGGTAAATTTATATTTTTCACCTTCATGTTAAATTTTTTCTACAGGCTTGATTCCAGATTATGAAAGAGCCTTCTAAATCACTGACTCTCTTCTATAACATTATCTACACTTATGGTATTTCATTCATTCACTCATTTAACCAATAATTTTTGAACACCAACTATGTACCAGAAATGTGTGTAAGCATCAATGATACTGTGGGTTATCTTAAGAGTCATGGTCCTTATTTCTGAGATGATCATTAAATCAATGACAATTCAAATAAATACATAGTTGCAAAGTGATTAGTGCTTGATAGAAAAGTATAAGATAGCCCAGCCAGTGTGGCTTAGTGGATTGAGCATCATACCATGGACTGAAATGTCCCGGTTCGGTTCCCAGTCAGGGCACACGTCTGGGTTGCGGGCTTGATCCCTGGTGGGGGCCGTGCAGAAGGCAGCCGATCCATGTTTCTCTCTCACATTGATGTTTCTATCTCTCTCCCTTCTTCTCTTTCTAGCAAATTAATAAAAACATATTTTTAAAAAGTATAGGATAAGATACAATATGCAGAATTACCCTTTGAAAAATACTAAGCCTATTTATTACAAATATATTTTCTAATGTCTAAATATGTATGTTTCTTATCTGAATTAGAAGTAAGACTGAGAACAGTTTGTATAAAAGAGAGGCTATCTCCAGTGACAGTCTTTTAAGTCTTTCACTTATGTTGGAGGACAGAGATGAACTGCTTTTTACAAAGTAAAATGACTACAAAATGTAAAATCAATCACTCCTTGCCTCTGAAGAAACAATGCACTCAGATGTAAATAGACCCAGATCATTCATAACACTCACAATGATACACTTTTTTCAAGGGAAAATTTCTAAAAGTATATTCTGTTATGTTTTAAAATTTGGAAATAACTGTTAGAAGGGCCAAAATTTGAGACATATCCAAAATTCTAAATGCTCATAAGTATTGATTTGATGAATTAAAGAATGAATCTACCTTTATTCTGCATCACTAGCATCCATTAGGAAGGAATTCACTTGGCTATCCATTGCTCATGCTTCATTCACTCTTACTGGGTCATGGATGCTAAGGTGCGCAAATAGTGCAGAGCAAATAGGGTTTTCAGAAGTTCACTAGCTTTAGCTGAATCCACATGATACCAAACATGTAAATGGACATTTCTCCTTTAAAAAAATTTTACATATGATAACTCATGTTGTGTAGACCACACCTTTCTTGGGATATTCTTTACTAGGCACTCCTTTGATGATTTAAATATTTTAATTATGAGTTAGTATGGTCACTGACATGAATACTGTTACATATCTGAATTAATATGTTTGTTTAGCTTTCATGTAGTAAGATCACTGAGAAAATGGAGTTGGGTGGGACAGAGGAGAAGGGAGAGGACATTTTTCTCCCTGTAAGTAGTTAATATGTCTTCCAAGTGGCCCAACTCCTTACAACTTCCTTTTTGAAAAAAGTGTATTATTAAAAGTACAATTTCTTCACCTTTTATAATAGGTCTATTGGTCTTGGACTATACAAAGTAACTCAATGATTTTATGAACATAAGCGTGCATGTTTAATGATAGGAGCTAACTTTTCTCTTTCATTATATTGGTTTCCACATATCAATTGTAATCTATTGGATGGAATTTATAGGCTAAAACCTTTCAAATGCCTCTAGTGGATAATGCTGAAAAAGACCATAGAACATTAGGCCTCCTGATTAGCTTATCGGAATTTATTTGCTCAGACTAATCAAACAATAAGGTAAAAGAATAAAAGAAGATGAGAACAGGGAAGTCCAATTATCACAATGCAGTTTACTTTATCCAATTAAAGTGTAAAAACTCAAATGGAAGTCACAGTCTTGTAATGAAATCATGGAAGTGACATACCATCATTCCCGCTATATTCTGTTGGTCACACAGACCAACCCTGGTACAATTTGGGAGGGCACTACAAAACAGTATAAATACCAGAAGACGAGAATCATTAGGGGCTTCTTGGAGGCTGACTACCACAGCCATTGGGAAGTTCCTGTCCTCAATTCCCCCACATGCATTGACGCAGAAATTCGAGTCTCTGTTTTCTCTTGGATTTCAGTCTATGTTATTAGCAATGTATATGTAGCTTATGCACTCAAGCACTTTTTTGAATTTAGACACTTTAAGACCACACACTTAAAAACAGCACATACCATAGAATTTACCCATTTAATGTGTAGAAATTAGTGTTTTTTGTTATATTCACAGAGTTGTACGTCTATTACCACAATCAATTTTAGAACATTTTCATTATCATAGAAAGAACCCCTATCCCTTTAGCTATCATTCCCCAATTCTCCTTCTCCTCTCAGCCCTAGACAACTAGTAATCTATTTTATGTCTCTGCAGATTTGCCTATTCTGGATATTTCACATAAATGGAAACATACAATGTGTGGTCATTTGTGACTAGCTTCTTTAAATTAAAACATTTTCAAGGCTCATCTATGTTAAATCATGAATTAGTATTTCATTTTTTTATTGCTGAATAATATTCCATTATATTGATACTTATCTATTCATCAGTTGATGAATATTTGTGTTGTTTCCACTTTTTGGTTATTTACATATAGTGCTGCTATAACCATTTGTATATAAAGTTTTTTGTGAACCTATGTTTTTATTTCCCTTGAGTATATACCTACAAGTGGGAGTGTTGGGTCATAAGGTTACTGTATATTTAACCATTTGAGGAACTACCAGACTGTTTTTCAAAGTGATTATAACATTTTACATCTCTACTAATAGTGTATGGAAAATCCAATACCTTCACATCCTCATCAACTTGACATTATCTATATTTTGATTGTAGCTCTAGTGGGCTGAATAATGGCCCCCAAAGATATGCAGGTCCTAATTTCTGAAATCTATAAATATTACCTTGGGTTATATGTTGTTAATATTATTATTATTGAGTTGGAAGTGTTCTTGTATTCTAGATATGAGTCCCTTATGCAATATATGGTTTTCAGAATTTTTCTCTCATTCTTTGGGTTGTCTTCATTCTCTCAATGATGTTTTTGAAGTACTGAAGTTTTTAATTATAATAATGTACAATTGATTTCTTTATTTCTTTTAATGCTTGTGATTTTGGTGTCATATCTAAAAAACCATTGCCAAAGGCAGGGTCATGAAGATTTATATCTATGTTTTCTTTTAAGCATTTCAGAATGTTGCTCTTATATTTAGGCCTATGTTCTACTTTGAGTAAACTTTTGAATATGTTGTCTGATAGGGATCCTACCTGATTCTTTTCCAGTAGTCCCAGCACCATTTGTTGTAAAGACTATACTTTCTTCACTGAATAATCTCAGAACCCTAGTCAAATTTAATTTACCATAAAGGTGATGGTCTATTTCTGGACTCTCAATTCTACCACTTGGTATGTCTATCTTTATGCCAGTGACATACTATTTTGGTAACTGTGATCTTACGGTAAGTTTTGAAACCAGAAAGTCTGAGTCTTTTAACTTTGTTCTTCTTTTCCAAGATTGTTTTGGCCATTATGGATCCCTTGGATTTTCATATAAATTTAAAGATCAGCTTGTTTAATTTCCACAAAGAAGTTATCTGAGATTTTGATAAAGATTGCATTGAATCTGTAGACCAATTTGGGGAGTATTGCCATGTTAATGAACATGAGATATCTTTCTATATATTTAGGTCTTCCTTAATCTCTTTCAACAATATTTTGTAGTTTTCAGAATAAAAACTTTGTACTTGTTTTTATTAAATTCATTGCTAAGTATTTTATTCTTTATGATGCTATTGTAAATAGAATTGTCTTAATTTTATTTTCAGTTTGTTCATTACTACTGCACAGAGAAACACTTAATTTTATATATTGATCTTGTATCCTACAACCTTGCTAAATTATTTATTTATTTATTATCCTCACCTGAGGACTTTTTTTTTTTTTTTTTCATTTTTATTTTCAGATAGAGTGGGAGGGAGAGGGAGAGGAAGAGAGAGAGAGAAACATCAATGTGAAAGAGACACATCAACTGGTCGCCACCCACATGACCCCAACCAGGGCCGGGGACAAACTGCAACCGAGGTACGTGCCCTTAGGGACCCTCTGGTCCATGGGCCAATGCTCTAACCGCTGAGCCAAAGTGGCCAGGGCTATTTATTAATTCTAACAGGCTTTTA